CTGGCTGACTGGCTGACTGACTGACTGCACTGAATGACTGACTGACTGCAGTGAATGACTGACTGACTGACTGACTGCACTGAATGACTGACTGACTGACTGATTGACTGACTGGTTGGTTGGCTGGCTCAGTGGCTGTGTAAAGGTTTCTTTTTAACCCTGGCCAAAGGGTATATAGTCACAACAGTACACTCATACATACCATCTCCAATGTCAGATTTAAGATACCCAGGCACACACAGGAAGGGGTATTCGTTATTTTCAATTTCTGGGGGTTGCCCCCAGTATCCAAGAACCACCTGTCTGGTGTCCGGTTCTTGTGCCAAGTGCCATTTGAGGAACGTTGCTGAAGTGTTATGAGAGAAACAAAGACGTTTCACATGCACATTTCGCCGATAAAAGTAAAATATAAAACTTTAAGGTAAAAAGCTGTTAAAATTATGAGGCTAAACGTTTTCGATCTGTTTGATCATCATCAGAGTGATCATCAGAGTGATGATCTCTGATGATGATCAAACAGATCGAAAACGTGTAGCCTCATAATTTTAACAGCTTTTTACCTTAAAGTTTTATACAAAGACGTTTCAATATCTAGTTCTGCAACGTATATTTAGAATATTTAGATGAACTAAGCCACTTAAGCATTTTACTCTAGTTGGCCTATCATTACCAGAAAGAATATCTAATACAGAGACTTTTCTTACATATTAAGAAATAACTTATGATGTATACAGACAACAGAACACTTGTGACTACAGTTAACATGCGAGGAACCGTATGAACAAGATCCAAAATGAAAAGAGTTTTTTTATGACACATGATTAAGAACAAAGGAATACAATCTTAAAACGTTAAGAAGATTCGAATAAGAAAGCACAAATTAGAAAAAAAAATCCTTAGATTTGTAAAAGAAAGACAATTGTTAAAACAGACCCAGGAATTTACTCTAAAATTATCAAAACTGAGAAAATAAATTTTCATATAGCTGAGCTATAGAAGAGACTAAAAGAATTCCACATGACGACATGTGCAACATTGACTGTAGAATTGAAAATTCAGTTCATCTTTTTCAGGACAGAAATTCGTCATTTACCAGGCTAATCAGACGACAAATGTCTTCGATGACTTGTTAGCAAAGAAGATACACAGAAAGAAGAACTCAAATTGATTGTGACGTTATCATCTTGATTCTTGAGTTCGAGTAAGCACGGTACAACCGCTGAGAAGGTTTATAAGCTTTCATGAAAAAATTCATGAAAGCGTTCCTTACTCATTTTTTCAGACAGCAATTAACCCAGAAATTGGTTGACGAAACTCTATCTAGAAGGAGACAAGTATTATAAAGGAGAACAAACCCTAAAAGTGATCAAATGAGCTGGCTAAACACTTATAGGAAAATCACGCGAGATGAGAAAACCCGTAACTTCCAAGTAAAGTGGCGAAATAATGCGCGAACGTCCATTTTCGTTCTCCCACAACTTAGCAATTTTCTAAAGACACAAAACAGCCAAATCCTTATCGAAGTTATCAGTTTCCATGATGTTATTAATCTACGAGGAAAAATAAGGGTAAATACAGTAAAAACATGCACACGAAATTGAAAACGGTTGTGATTTTCAGTCAGTATTCCACACATGTTGTGCTTCGAACACAAAAATAAATGTTAACTTTGACGGTATTGTTTTTGTTTCGTCAGTGAAATAATTTCCCTATAATTGACATATACATTCGTCGCTTTAGTTGCAAATCAGAACTCTTTCTTAGCCCAAGAACGCACGACGTTTAAAAGAACAACGTTGAACTAACAGTACAAGCCGAGATTGAATGCCGGATAGCTAGTGAAACGGGGTCTACAGGAAATCGCAAATTTATCAGGGGCCTTGACGATGTAAATAAAAATTAGTTCCAAACTGTTTGTGTTATTTCTTTTTTTCCTGTAAAGGTATCGTCTACAAAGATATAGTTTAATGTGGCCGAGGGACAAGAAATTTTCTGCTGTAGAGGCTGTGTTCATTAAAATCGTTAAAGCGTGACTGTAATAGAGAGAAACCAAGGACCACTTGTCTTTTTGCATTGAAATGGTTTACTCTCGCACTAATGTTTAACATAAATAAAACCTTTATGGTTCGAAATGAAGCCGCAACTTGCTAGAAAAGATTCGAGCTTTATTTAGGGTAGTCCCCGTTTGAATTTAGCGAACGGGAATTTTGTCTTCGATCAAGCGTTACTGGGGTAATATCCCTCAAGTTTTAAGTAAAACAAACATTTTCCTTGGCAATACTGTTGCAAAACTGATACGTTAGTTCCATTACTGGAGTTTACGGAGGCATTTACCGCTCGAATATTATTCTTGAACGTAACTTCTCGAACTTCAGTGGCTGAACTCAATAAAACTTGCAGTGGAAACATCGAAGTTCAAAATACAATACCGTAAATTTCCTGAAGACATTTTTATTTTCAGGAGTTTGCTAGTAAGAGCTAAATTAAACCCAAATTAAAAATATTTTCAATATGTTGAGTTAGTACTGAGTTAAATTAAATCGCAATTACCTGACCACTTTACTCTTTTTCTGTGCCCAGGAATCATTATTTCTAAAGAATCCAGAAGCTCATCAGTGAATTCTCTGCTTTTTAGATCTCTGATTGTGTTAATTCCTTCGGTTCTGAATCTTTCCAAATAACAGCCTTCCGATTCGAGGCCAAGATGCTTTAACCATTCTCCGATGTCTAACACAGCAGCTGGACGGAGGAAAGAAAAATCAACATTATGAATTGAATTATTTATCATGACAGTTTGACATTAAAGACGGAAATTACATTGAAATTGGTAAAATTGTGCCTTAACCTTTGGGTAGATCAAGTTGTATCGTTGACGGAGATCATCCGTTCATATTATCGAGCAATCGCCGTATAAAAAGTGGACTTGCAATGTTCCGTAAATATTCATCAATACAGACATGCAGCAAAGTCGGCAAATTTCTTAAAGAAAAAAATATACTTACCAGCTTCTAAGATTTTAGACCTGTCACTCGGTTCCCTGATATTTAAAAGGTCCAAGTCCTCCTCTTCTAGGAGACACAAGTCAAAAACTGTGTCATATCCTTGACTTTCAAACCTTGTGTGGTAGGTTTGAAGGCCGATTTTGGCCAGAAAAATTTCCACAGAACTTTCAGAGGCCATCGCATTCGACGCAAGTCACAATTAAATTGAAATTCACTTTGATTCCTAGCGCGTTATGACTGGAAAATTATTCAGCTGTTGATTGGTGTGTTTTCATAACTAATTGTTTATGATTGGCTGTTCGGAATCGAATATTCCTGCGAGGGAAAATATTTGTCACGAAGGTCCAGAGGACGCTGTTCTCGCCTGAACTTGCCCTGAGCTAAACTCGGAAATCTTTTGTTCTTGAGTGGTGACGTCATAGCAACAAACTGAATTTTAAGATGGCGGCTGTATTACGTCTATTACGGTTTCGGTTTCTGTTCAAACTTGCCTGATCGTGCGTTTACATCAGGTTATTTCCCCGTTATCCGTGGTGGAATTCTACAAGTGACGTTGGTGAGTTCTTTGCTGAATTTTTTTATGCGTCAACCTTTCTTATAGATGGTTTCCAAGCTCATTTGCCCCTTTCCCTTGTCTGTTTGCGAGTTGCACCAAGTTGTTTTTCACTGCGTTAATATTATGGTGATCGATCCGGAATAAACGGGCTTCAATTATTGTAACATACCTGCCTGTGCCTTGCCAATGTTGCAAAACGTCGACTAAGCTCATAAACTACTCAAAAAACACCCTGACAAGCTACATCGTTAACACTGGCAGGCAAGCCTTTGGTATGTTTCTTCCCGTACTCCGTACAAAATGTATACTACTAGTGGGTTTTAGTAGTCTTAATACTATTTCCGATTTGTCGGAAATAATTAATCTATTCTTGCAGGCTTAAGAAGCTTAGTTTGGGCGCAAAGTTGAAATTCATTTTCGAGCAAAATGCTATAATTTTCACAGATATGAAAAGTCACAGAAGGCAAAATCATAAAATTATTTTCATGATAATTGAAATATTAAATATTGATGTAAACAAGCATTCTTGACTAGTTGATAGCTAGAGAGGTACTCTTAATACCGACAACCAACAAATAACATCATTTATTTAAATTCACTTTTAAATAACTCCTGGATCCCAAAATGGTCATAATATAAAAGGGCAAATTATGTCTGTGACTGTAAGAAAGTACTTGTAAGTCTTGTGAATGCTTTGATGCTTGTAAGTCTGTCACATTTTCATTTTAGTACTCTGGCTGGTATTACTCTAATAATTGACAAATTGATTTAAACCACACTTTGTTGCATAAAGTTAAGGCTGGCATGGGGGAGGGGACAAGTCCCTATAACTAGTCCGCGCAAACAGTCACAGGGACAAGTCCCTTCATGTCTGCGCTTTTACCATAAGATAAGATAATCTTTATTATTACCCCCATGACCCCCTGGGGGTAATAGCCTGGGAATTATTCTTCACTTCGCCTCTCAGTCACTTGCAGCCAAGCATGGCAGTTGATGGCATAGATAAAAAGCATGTCTTTTAGCTTTCAGTCCATGAGAAACGTAACTGCAGCAATGAGTTGTTGTAAATAGCAGTAATTGATACTTACTGTTTTCTTCCCGATAATTATAGCCCAATTTTTAAGAGATGTGAGATTTCGCTCTTGCAAATTTAATTTAACATGACAAAAGCATTCTATATAATAGAGAAAATCTTGTGACTGAATTTACTTTTCTCTCAATATTATGGTTCACAAAATTATGGTCTCCCCAAATTCAATTCAATTCAACTACTCTATTTGAATCAGAGGTTGTTATGAAGCATGAAGCCATTCCAAACTCAAACTCAAATGCAACATTTATCTAAATTGTACCTTAATTTCAATTCATTTGATGGCTGTGACATTAACTGTACAGTGCCAAAAATGATCTGCAACTGAACAAACTATTTTTTCTCTTGTCTGACTTGAGTCTTCTTCTTAGTTGGAAGACAGCAAAATTAATGTTCTCCATTTCATTTACAAAATGCTAGAAAATCACAGAAATCAGATAAATCATATAAATTATTTTACTTGCATCATCATGATATCAACAGCATAATTGCTCCTCTGCGTATTTATGAATTTATAGAAGTACAGCTTTTAGTGCATGCTTTCCTACAGGGTGTGTCAATGCGAATACTGCATATTTATTCAATTAAGTGCCCAACTTTGAAGAAGCGCCAGCTCGAATAAGCGCCCACCTTGTAGGTAGGAAAAGTTAAATAAGCACCCAGCCTCAAATATGTGCCCACCCCCTCCCCCCTCCAAAAAAAGTGTCCTTGGGCGACTGACCCATTTGCCGATGTCATGCTGTCAGACATCAAAGAAGCAGCACTAGAGAGTTTGCTAATTGACCTTAGTGATAAATGAGATTGAAATTGACTAAGTACTTCTAAGAGACCTTGGATATTCGAAAAAGTGGTCCTAACAAGTGCTGGTCGCTTACAAGGATGAGATCTCTTAAGCAACCACATGGTAATACAATAGATGGTGGTCCCTTACGAGAGTTTCAGAAGCTCATTAATAATTCATAAAGAAAATACAAAAGAAATCGATGTTTAATAAGCATCTTGATATCTGATATAGTCACGGCTAAACTTTACATTCAATTTTTACAATACTGGACTGTACAAGATCTTTATCAACAAACCATTAGCACAATGTGCAGTTTCATTAAAGTGTTGATTTATATGTAAAAGACTCTGAGTAGTTGCTTACAAGAGCTTAAAAACAAAGGAAAAGTCCAGTTGGGTAATCTCAAAAGTGGTTGTGGTTGCTTACGAGAGCTTTTCGTTACAAAGTTACAGTTCAAATAGGCTTTCACAAAGGTAGCTGTAACTAGAGCTGGTTGCTTATGAGAGTGGTCACAAGGAGAGCTTTGACTGTATATTGCTGTTAGCACAATAATGTGTAAAAAATTGAAAAACTGTGAAAAATTCTGAGGTTCATCTATCTTAGTTACTAGATGTGTGGGCTCCTTTTGATCTGATTTTTAAATGTAGGTAAAGAATACCAATTTTCTTAGACTGAATTTTCAAGCTCATGTTTTTTCTTATCTTTTGCAGGTCCTCATTGAAGACAGGACTGACTGTCAATCATTTGCTTTCTCTTGAAAGTGTAGATTTTATTACTTGCACCAGAAGAACCTTTTCTAAGAAGATTGCTGTCTGTCTGTGATACTCATGATTTGGACAAGTTCCAATGTAAAGGAGGTTAAAAACAATGAGTAAACAGTTAATTTTAACTGTGCTTGTGTATGTGGTATTTCAGGTAACTTCTTTGAAAAGAAAGAAGTAATTAACTTTTCCCAAACTTTGCACAATTAGCAATCAAGTCTAGGCTATTCAAAAATTAATAAAAATGGGGGGTCACCATTGTCATTTCCCTAGCCATCATTTATGGCAAATTTAATTAGTTTAGGAGCAAAATACTTGAATTCTAAGGTTAGAATTAAAAGAAAGTACCTAGTACTTTTTTATGGAAAACACAGTATATATATCCTAGATGAAGATTACCAAGTTAGTTTGAAATTGCTAAAAAATATAATCTAACTATACTGAGGAAAAGGTTGTTGTTATTCATCGTGGTGGATGAAATAATAAAGTGTATTATCATTTGTCTCACGATGTAGTCACTTGAGATGTAGATCGCGACGTTTTGACTGCTTACTGCTAGTCTTCTTCAGGTGATAAGNNNNGGGTGAAGTCTTATGTGAATAGCTTCCTTGACCCTACGTGTGTACCAGTGAGGATCTCGATCAATAAACTTGACCTCATTCCAGATAGGATAGTGGCCGCTCTCGTGCGTGTGTTCAGAAATGGCAGAGGTCTGGGTACAGGTGCTGCCTGTTTTGTTTCTAACTATATGATCACCAGCTATGCATACCCTGTGATAGGCTTGAAAGCAGATTTTGTCAGATATTGTAATGATCTTGTAATTACTGATACTATGTGAGCAGAGTCGCTTCGACCTTTTCTAGATAGCGGCCTTCCTCTTTCCCCTGCTTATCTAGGAAAGATCAAAGAGACCTCGCTCAAAGGTTAAATCACTGATAAAGTAATAAATTTTTATTCAAATTTGCATATATTCTAGCCAAATGAGGCCTGAATGAATTAACGGCAAATGAAGTTGGTCACACTGCCTGTCTTGTTTTATTTACCTTTTCCATTCTGCTAGAAATATTGTTTTATTGCATCATTGTTATAACAGTAGACTTTTTGGCATCTTACCAAGGTGCCCGTATTTTGCAATATTATGTAGAGTGGGTGTACTCAGGGCAAAACAAAGAAATTAATTCTTACTGTCCAGTTGTCAGAATTCTTGGTAAATGAGTCTTGAGTGAGGACTTCAGCTTGGGGAACGTTTTCAAGTCAACCAGACTGGTGGAGCATAACTGGCTCATCATGGTCTGGGCTTACCATTAGTTAATGTGAGTTGGGATATTGTCTCCCCTCCACCCTCCTCTAATGGGATGCTTGTCCACTGTAGGGGTCATCTCACATTTTTCCAGGTTTCCATAACAGGTTGCCGTTACCCATTTATACTTATAATAAGGCAAGTTACTCTGTACCCTCCCCTCCCGGAGTGGGAATTCAAATTTCATTGCAGGAAACTATTGTAAACAGAGCTCAGTTGGCCCAACTGAGTTCTATTTGCTGGCGATTTCTATTTCTGATAAACTGTTACTTCTAAATGAAAAATTCTTCTATGTTTTGTATTTCATGCCCTCCTCTTTCCCTTGAAAAATAACCCAGGTATAAAGGTAATATATGCATGCAATTCCAGGTACACTTTTCCAGGGACATTTAATGCTCTAACAAAGAGACAGAAACTACTATTATTATTTAACTCTACTCGGTAGGGAACAAACAACGAAAGAAAGGAGTACAGATATCCCTCGGAATTTTTTCTCGCGGCCATGATTGGATAAAATATGTAAACATCACGTAGCACACGCCTACAGGACACACGTGCGTAGCATGTGATGTTCACGCAATCTTCACGTGAAAATCACCACAAACTGTACTCGGCCAATCATGAATTAAATTTATTTTTCGGACAATTTTTTTCAGCTTTGTCTTTATTACTATTTATTATAGAGGATCCTCCAAGAGTAATCTGTGACCGCTCGCAGTCCCAAACACAGTTTAAATTCTACATTTTGGAAAATAAGGGATATAAATAGATCTCCCATTATAATTGAGTAGTATGACTTACG